CATTTTTGTTTATTGTCATGTGACAGTTTTTCTAAAACAATACAGACTAATGATTTTAGGACAGTGGTGGTGTGCCAGAGGTAGGTCCCAGCTGCAACCGCTGCAACCCTGGTAGTTCTCATGAAAATGCCAAGTATCGGCACTGGTACTCGAAAAGTATCTGTGCATCCCTATTTGAGAGGTTAATACTTCTTTTACTTTAACCAAACAAATGACCCCTAAATGTGACTAGTGTTAATACTTGAATCCTAATAGTGAGCAAACCTTTAGTAAGGTCAGGTACAATACAACTGTCACAAAAATCTTAGCCCATTTCTAACTTTTTTTAATTTTTATTTTTCCCTGTATGCGTAGCACAATCTATTATTACACTTGATAGGGACTGGAACACACCGCATTGTAACAAGCGTCTACTTTGCATGCAAAGGGTGAAGGAAACCTTGTGGGGGGGTTTTTTCTTGATAGTTGTTGTTTAATAAAGTTGCATAGTATTACCTTTTGTGTATCTAAAGTAAATGTAATGGTGTTACCTTTCTCTCACTTTTCTGCAGAAGATAGAAAAAAAAAGCTAGGCTGAGGCTCAGCAACACCCTAATCAACACACAATAGATCAATAGGATCATAAAAGAGAAAAGCGCCTTTTGGCCTTTTAAGCCTTTTCAGCCTTTGCTATCTAATAAGCAACACCCAGTCTGGTTTCCGCTTGCTGTGTGTGCAAATAGCCAAAGAATGTCTAAATTACATAAAGGGTTATTCACAAAGAAGCTAGCCGAAGGAGCCCTTTGGTTCAGTAGAACCGAAGGGCTGCTGTAGGGCTATTCACTATAGCCCGTACAGCTCCCGAAGCTGGCCGAGCGGCTCAGCCAAGCCGAAGGCATATGCTTCGGCTCGACTAAGCCGAAGTGACACGCTAAGCGGGCCGAACAGTTGGCCATTGGCTGGCCGAAAGCCTCGTAACTGACAGCTGGGTGGAGCCAGTCTTGATCTCATGCCTTGCTCCACCCAGTTGCAATGACAGATCAGCGTCCCCAGGTTACCTTGGGACGCTGAACTGTCATTTAACAATGAGGTGACAGCCAGCTCCGCCTAGTTGTTATTCATTGGCCGGGACCTGCTAGAAGACTCTAGCAGGTCCCGACCAATAGGAAACAATTAGACGAACCTAGATGTCACTGCTAGCTCTGCCCAATTGTTTCTACTTTTTTCAATAATCTTTATTTTAATTTTTTTTCTCTTTTTCTGCAGCCCCTGTTATAAATGAATAGGAAGCCTTTATAGTGAGATTACATGTCTAAATGCAAAATAAAAAGTGTGGCAAGCTGGAAAGCGTTAAAACATGTTTAAGGAACTTTCCTGCTTTATTCAGCCAGGTGCCTGTCATATGTTTACGGGTCAGTAACCCATCAGTGGCACAATTTGTTGATGGGTCATGGTATATCTGTCAGCCTTCCAGTAGTCCTGGTGGTGACCCCACATCCTGTGGCTTCCTCTTCCCTGTCTTTCTTCTGTTGTCTACTGGTGGCCATACACTCTACAACCATCGCAAGACTTTAGTCTTGCGATGGTTGTACAGGGATTAAAAAAACGTACGATCTGCCTATCTTGGACAGGCAGATCGCACTCTCGATCATCGCAAGCCCGCCCCCCTGAGGGGCGGGCTTCCGATGACCGCAATGCTGAACGGGCAGTGTGCGCGGGCGCACACTGGCCCGTTCGGCATTTGTCTTCCGAGCACCGTTCTAACCAGCCGAGAATCGTACGATTCCCGGCTGGTTTTCGAACATGCTGGTTCGACAGAAGACGTGCGACCGTACAGTAGAAACGGTCGCACGTCTCCGTTCACACTGCTCGATTATCGTACGAAAAACCGATCGCATACGATTATCGTACGATAATCGTGCAGTGTATGGGCACCTTACCTTTGGTTTCTCTTTCAGCACTCCTTCCTTCCTCAGCTTTCTCACATTCTCCTGCTGCTGTTCCAAAGTCTTGAAGTGTGCACATGAAGATGGTGCTTTTGTACACTTCTACACAAATGGGGGGATATATTGGCACATGTTTGGATTGGCGTTTAAAGAGCTTCATACCCTTGAGTTTGGTTGCAAGTTGTAGCATTTGTTTGCCACATGGATACTAACCTGTGCTGTGTTTCTAAACTGTCTTTTGTGCTGATTACGACAACCTGAGATCATTTAACCTTTACCTGTTGTTGTCTTTTCTCTGAATCCCAACTCTGATTCTGCCCTATGTTTTAGCTTCGATGATTGGTTTTGTGAACCAAATGATTTTTACACTCACTCAAACCCCCAAGTACACTTCTGCCCTATTCCTAGCTGTTTTAACTCCTTTCTTGACCTCCAACTGTAATGTAGATAACCTTCTGGTACTCATCTCATTATTCTGTTTTGATCTTGGCCTGATCAATAACCTATTGGTATTTTTACTTATGTAGAGTCTGCTGCATACATCCTTGGGGCACCTGAGTACCAGCCTGTACATATAGGCCTGGTTCACACCTGAACGTTTTGTAGCGCGTTCAATGCTCGACGAACGCTCTACAAAACGTACAAACTTGAAAATCCCATTGTTTTCTATGGGTATGGTTCACACCTTTCCGTATTTCAGCCCGTCTGAACTCGCTACAAAACAGCCTACGCCCAAAGAAGTACATGTACTTCTTTGGGGCGTTTTGGTCTCGCGTTTCCATTGGGATACAGCCAAGTAGCCCTCGGAAACACGCGCTTGTCGTGCGTTTTTTTTTACCGCGAATCGCGGTAAAAACGCGCGACAGACGCGCATATTCAATACGCCTAGGTGTGAACCCAGCCATAAAGTGTATTTAAAAGGGGGCAAAACACAGTTTTGTTTGTTGTTTTGTATAGAATTTTTCAAATTCTAAGTAGCAGACATTTCCTTGTTCATATCTCTTTTTCTTTCTATGTTTACTAAGGTGTAACGCTTGTCTGTTGCTTGCATACATCTGTACCTTTAGGGTTATTATAAATGGTAATATCATTCTATTCTGAAAGAGTAGAGTTACAGACCCTGGAGTTACCAGAGTGAAATGATGGGCATGTATTACCTGCTAATTAGGTTTAGCTTCTCATGTAACAAAATCACTAACTAGAAGAGCCTACATTGTTTTGCACACACTGGCAGTAAAATATGATACTTTCCTGGTGTCAGCACGGATATTGTAACACATTGGTATTAGATGTGTCCCAGATGGAACCACAAAAGTCTTGGGAATGATGTAACTCAGATGGTTTGAATATTTCCCTAAGGCAAGTACTGCTAGGAACTACAGGTTCAATGAATAGCATGATGCCTATTAGCCAGGTGTGCCTAGCTCTTGTCTCTGTAACTTGTAGGATTGAACTGTCCTATTTCATTCCAGATGTGCTGCTAAATCAAATATTAACTTTCTGTCAGGGGATGCTACAAAACAGCCACCAACACACGATTCAAGAGTTGGTGAATGGTGTTTTATCTGCATGACATCTGTTTTACTACCTGGAGATTTGACAGCTGGCAGTGGCCAACACTCAGATCTTGTTTTAATACATAATTATTTACATTGTTTTGATTGCTGTTGTGTATGTATGAGGTCTAGCAATCTGTCTATTTATTTGTTGATATTGTTATCAATAAAAATTTGCCATGGCTGGAAAACAATTACTAGGCCCACACCCATAACACTCTTTTCTCATGAATGAAGGCTATGGAATGTGTCAGAATTTTTGCTCTGTAATTTGCCCCCCCTGCCCCGAAGATAACAGTGGCTTCAGGCGTGTGTGCTGTGGCCATAGGGAGGTCACACCTGGACCAATATTATATAAAAAAATTGTAATAATCGGACTATGAAAAGATTATGGCTAGTGTTAAAAGTGGTCATTATTTGACCTAACATTTCTGACCAGTAAATCATAGGACACATTCACTTTTTCCTTCTCCTCCCAGTACAACCCACATAGCTAAATAATACCTCCAGCACCACAGCCTGTGCACAAAAAAGTCCTGGTCAGGCCCTGAACTTACTATGCATGCATGCTGCAGCTTTGTTCATCCCTATGACTAGTTTGTACTGCCATAGGGCATAGATGTTGAAGGTATGTATTAAGCTATTTGGGTTACACAGGGGGCGGGCAAAGGAAATCTTAAAAAATTATCTTAAAATGTTTCTTAACCCTTGCAGTGGGGATACCCCAGCACATGCAGGGGTTAACTGCTCGTATTTGTCAAAGTGCTTTTTAAAAAAAAGTTATACTCACCTGAACTGCCGAGCCGACTCCCTGCTTCTTCGCTCTCTGAATCCTGTCTCCTCCTATGCTGCAGCATCGAAATATGTTCCTCAGCATCCTCACATCTATACACTGTATAGATCGTGATGATTTACAGGACCTTAGACCACTGCAGAGGAGAGGGAGATAGGTTGGAAGGACTGGCCTCAGAACAAGCCAGCTCCGTGGTTCAGGTGAGTATAATTGTTTTTAAGCACCTGGACAAAAACAAGCAGTTAACCCTTGCAGTTCAGGGGTAGCCCCACTGCAAGGGTTAATACAAGTTTTACCCAGAGTTCTTCTTTAAAGGACAACTTAAATAAAAATAAAGTTGTGCTTTAAAGCTTTTGGTTCAACATGGCAGCAAAGTAAATATTGTTTTCAGAAGGGAGAAAGCAATGCCATTCTACATATATTTCTTCGTACCTGTGCTTTAGTTGGGACAGACATTTTCACTTAGGAAACTTGTGCTTGTAGCACCTATTTCCTTTCAGACAGTGCTCCTTCCATCTTATGTGTGCTGCTTGTTACCATCAGCCAGGGATTAAATTGTGGTGGATCCCATTCATAACAAGAATGTGCACACTGCCTATTGTGCTCAGTGAGGGGTGTATGGGTGGGAATATGATCATTCTAACCAAAAACAACTGTCTATGATGACCTGGATGTGTTTTCCTTGAATTCACCTTTAAATTCTCATGCACCTACGTTTTCCTGCAGGTTATTTTCCGAGCTATGCCACCTTACTATTCAGCGATGGATCCTTACAGTTTAGAAGCACAAGACAAACTGAAGATCACTAATCTCCGTGTTCAGCTTCTGAAGCAACAGCTGTGTCCCTGCCACAACAAGGACTCAGACATCAAACCGCAGTCTTTAGCCCACTATGCTGTTTATGACTTTATAGTTAAGGGAAGCTGCTTTTGCAATGGACACGCAGATCATTGCGTTCCAACTGATGGATTTCGACAAGTCCGGACAACCAGCAAACTCCAGGTGGTGAGTATAAAATTATTGTGCAATACTATTCAATGCTGCATGTTAATGTTAAAAGTTTGTATACAGGAGGCTGATTTTTGAAATTACTCATGTCTGTATGCTTAAGAACCATCTATGAATACTTTATTTTTACATACTATGGGGGGGATTTATCAAAACTAGCATACAAAATCAGGAGCAGCTGTGCATGGCAACCCATCAGTTTCTCTCATTCATTTTCAAATCTTAGCTGAACAAACTGAAGAGAGAAGCTGATGGGTTGCCATGCACAACTGCCCCAGATTTTGTCTGCTCCAATTTTGATAAATTCCCCCCTTCTGTCTTTCTTAAATTAGAAAGAAAGAAGACATTTCTTAAATCTCTTATTTTCAATCTCTGTATATTATTTGTTTTATGCTATTAAAATATAAAGTGACGGAGCCCTCAGGAAAATTGCAGTTTTTATTTTCTTACTTTGAATTGGTACCAACAACAACAACAAAAAATACGTTAGAGTGAAAGCCTATCTCCTCCTGAAAAACAACCCTTGCAGTGGGGCTACCCCCACCCACCCTTCACTGCTTGTTTATATCTAGGGAACCTGTGTAAAGGACTTTAACTTACCCTTATCCCTGCTCACACTGGGTCCAATCCAACACCCGCAGCCTCTTCCCAACTCCGCTCCAGTCGGAAGCCTGCTGATGTCATGACGTCTAATGCAGGGCCCATAGCCCTGCATTATATTTGAGGACACCAAGGGACAATCCACAAGCTGAAGCAGAGGGAAGAGAGGTTTGAGCTGACTGCTAGGGGGTACCAGGATCAGGTAAGTAAAAGTCCTCTTCACCATACCCCTAGACATAAACGAGCAGTAGACCCTTGCAGCGCGGGGGTAGCCTCACTGCAAGTGTAGTTTAAGACAGGCTTTGTGATTCAGCTATCTAATTTATGAATATTTTAGCATTGGCCTGTGATAGTGGTAAAACCTTACAGATTTTAGAGGCCTTACAATTTATATGACATCCATTGCAAAGACACACCGCTGTGTGATTAGGGTCTTCTGGAAGCAGCAATTCCATGACTTGTTATTAGGGATGCACCGATACCAAGTACCGTACTCTGTACAAGTACAAGTACAGATACTTTTCCAGCTCCAAGACTAGACTAGAGAAAAAATCAAAAGGAGGCAGCTGTCATTTGTAAGAAGCACACGGACCTCCTGGGATTTGTACATGTTTTTTTTAATGTATGATTTAGTATTTATAAATATAAATAAAGTGATGCACCGATACCAGTTTTGCAAGTACAAGTACTGATACTTGCCCAAGTGATCACAGATACAAGTACTGATACATTTTTGTTTATTGTCATGTGGCAGTTTTTCTAAAACAATATCGACTAACGATTTCAGGAGAGTGGTGGAGCGCCAGAGCCAGGTCTCATGAAAATACTAAGTATCGGCACTGGTATCTAAGCTGGTATTGATGCATCCCTACTTGTTATGTAACAATGTATAATGCACGTTGCATGCTAGAAATGGGGCTCTGACGTTGGAACTAGAATACCGCACTGCAGCTGGGAGCTGGTTGTTTGATGAAAACTCTGTCACCTAGGTGTTTTACTTTGTGTTAGATTCACTTTAAATGTTGTCAGTGAACAGATGAAAGATTAACAGAAACAACAAATATACCATACAAGATACTGATATACATGATGTCATAGGCATATGACATGTACAGTATCTGCCAATAGCCAATCTGCCAATAGCAGTGGTGACCTTTATTAAGCTATTGGTGCCAACAATTCTATACTAAGAGGTTGTGAGTAAAATCATCTGACTTTTTACATTTAGTACCTTCATTCAATTATGCTCTGTCTGCTTTTAGACACAGAAAATTGCAATTGTAATGCTACACCTTCATTTTATTTTTAGAACATATCAGCCATTCAGCTGTTCTTAATTGTGTAGCAGAATAAACAATGAGTTAAACTGTATAGTAAGTTACATGCAAAACTGAGTTAAAGACGAATTCTGGGAAATCAAAAGCTTACTATTGCAGTGGGGCTACCCCCCACACTACAAGGTTACATGCTCATTTTGTATAGGGGGCTCAAATAAAGCAGTTTTACCCACCTGGGCTTCGGGCCAGTATCGGTCGGCACTCACCTCTTTCTCTCTCCCCCTCTGTTCCAGCTATGGACAGTGTCATCACGTCTGATGCAGGTCAATGGACCTGCATAAGACATAATGACATCAGCGGTCCTTAGACCGCCAGAGCCCAGGGAATGAGAGGCTACGGGGATCAGTCTAGCAGCCCAGAGGAAGCAGCAGGATCAAGGATCAGGTAAGTAATAGTAAGTTTTTGATTTTTCCTGGAGTTCTTCTTTAGGCTTATTTCAGGTCTTTTCCTTCATCATTCAGAAGGATGGCTTTACTTTTTTGTCTGGTTGTCAGGCTGAAGGGTTCCTGATTGCTATTAAAGCATGAGAATTGCATATTGAAGTCAATGTAACAGTCTTTCAGATGATAGAATTATACAGATGTTTTCTCACTCATAACCATTATCAAAGAATAAACTTGTATGGAGATGTTTTATTATCACCACTACAACCATACTGAGTTATGTGACCACAAGCAGCATACATACTATGTGCTAGTGTGATGGCAGGTTTTTGGCACCATCGCTCTACTTGCACATAATATGCTTGTATCACTGCGAGACCAAAACATTTATTATATAGGACAGTGTTTGAAATGGGCAAGTGTGCGTTCAGTACTGAAAGTGAAGGTTGCTATCCAGCGGTTTACTACCAGCATATAAAAGACGTTTCATTGCACTGTCATTACACTTCTGGCTACAAATACTTGCGTGACAGTCGAGTAATAAAATGAAGCCTGTGATCTGTAGCTGATCATTTGTGGTAATTAGCATTATTTTTTGCTCTGACACATGTGTGATTGGTAGATTTCTATCACATAGAGGTGTAATGTGGTCTTAATTCAAACAGTGAGCGGTACTTTGATCCTGAATAATCTGATATTAATGCTTGGATCATATTCCCAAAACCATGTGTGTTCTAAAATAAAGACCATTCTCTGGCACATTTACAACTTTCACTGATTACACGTGAAATCGTAAACCACTTGAAATATATTAGATCAGCCATTGTGGCTCCACAGGGCTGTCCCATTTGTAACTAACCCTTTAAGAATTTAACAGCAACAGATTTGATTTCAAGTGTTGCCATCATTCTAAACACAGCTCCAGGAGGTATTCTGATCATTCTGATTCTTCAGATAAGTAAAATTGCTGGTTAATGATAGTTAACATTCAAAACCCTTTTATGTGATTAGGTGATAGATTTATTTTTCTAATTTCAACTGAAAAATGGTGGCGGATATCCAAAAAGTAGCTGTAGGCCAAAAAAACGATGTTTCTTCTCCACCTTTTTTTAATCAATCCCACTACATCTTACCTGTGTGGTGACTCCAATGTTTATGCTGCCATTCTTTGGGAATTGTAGTCATAGGCTGAACTCCAGGCAGATATAAAATACCCAAATTAATGCAGCTCTGTAATCATTGATACAGCAGTAAAGCGATATATTTAATGGACTATGAATTTGACTTGGTATCAGACATTTGCAAGCCCTAATACAGTAGAGCTCAGAAAAGGAGGAGGGAAAAGCCGCACAAGGAGCTAGTCAGTTGTGTTGCAGTGCTCATGTGCTAAGAAAGGGATTACTGATGGGAGGAGAGAGCATAGTGACAGCAAGCTGCGCTCATCAGTCTGCTGCTTCCCATTTCATTGACCAATCACAGGCTGGGAGAAGGACAAGACCTGTAAGTGTTACTTAAAGCAGATCCTCAGGATTTTCAAAAGTGCCCCACTGCAAGGGTCAACTTCTCATTTTGGTCTAGGGAACAGAATTAAGAAGAAGATACACTCACCTGATCTTCAATCATGCGGCGGTGACCTCTTTCTACCTCTGCTGTAGCTGTGGAATGTTACTTGGCGTCCTCACATCTAATGCAGGTGAATGGACCTTGCATAGACATTATGACGTCAGTGGGGCTTAGACGCCTGGGGACCGGAGAAGAAGAGGCTGCAGAGACCGGTCAAGCAGCCAGACGGGATTGAGAATCAGGTAAATATATTTTCTTTATTTGTGCCCCTAGACCAAAATAAGCAGTTAACCCTTGAAAATCCTGTAATTCCTCTTTAACTGCAGCAGAGAAAAATCAGGTCTTGCCCTGCCAGATAGGGCTGTGCTGTGTAGATAGACGTAGATAGGTGTATTTAATCTGTGTATTTAGAGGTTTGACTGAAGTTCAGCTTTTATGGCTCTAGACCCTAGAGCAGGGGTGGGCAACTCCGGCCCTCCAGGTGTGTTGAAACTACAAATCCTATCATGCATCTGCCTTTGGGAGTTATGCCTGTGGTTATCAGAGTCTTGCAATGCCATGTGGGACTTGTAGTTCCCAAACAGCTGGAGGCCCAGAGTTGCCCACCCCTGCCCTAGAGCTAGAACTAAGAAATAACGGGACAGGTGTTCCCAGGTTCCTAGCTTTGAATTTCTCAGAGATGGAGACTGCGTAGTGTGGAATGTGTGTCATCATGCTGCAGTCCCTAAAAACTGTGCTGAACCTGGTGCATTTCATACAACTGATGCTGTCAATAGTCACAATTTAGCAGTTACATACTCTTTTCAATACCGATCAGCTTCTGCTATGGTGAACCGGTGAGATTTTACTCAATCTCTGCTCCCTCTCTAATGATCAAGAATCTGCAGCATTTCAGCCAGCACGGGAGTGACATTCTTCAAGTAAAGTGGCAGATTCTGCCCATGGCGACATGTCAGACAGAAGGTTTCCGTAAGGCATGGCCCTTGACTACAATGGGCAATCTAAAGATCAGGTTAAAGGTCAATTGAGCGGAGAAGTGAATTTCACTGATTGATTTAACTTGCTGCCTGAATTTGTTCTAAAATCATGTAATGCTTTCTCTTGTGACGTGACCCAGCTATAAGAAATGCATGTGATTTACTGACTCCTAATTTTTGTCAAGAAAAAAAAAGTTGCAGTCAAGGAATCAAGAGGTTTATCTAGTGGAATGAGAAGTACGGCATTTCCCCTTAAACTCAAAGGAATGTCATGTGAACTGGAGAATGATTTGGTACCATGCTCTAAAGGAACTTCCACTCTTAAATATTCATTGAGTGAGTGAGTTCACACAGGGTTCAGCAAATATGAAATCTCTTATAGGAGCTTGTAAATTAGATACTCAGCAAGATACTTATGTGTGTACATACTCGAACATTTGTAGGTATCTGGAAAGCTGAATGACAAGTATTGCACTGAGCACTAGGGGCAGATCATTGAGCGGTAGCACATAAGTCTTGTTAAACTTGCCCTTTTTTTGGTTTAAAATATAACAAGGTGGACTGGTGAGCTAAACATAGACACTAAAAACAATTCTGCCAATGCTAGGTATCAGTGGGGTTGACCTACTAAAGGCCAGTAAGGCCTTGCAAGGGAATGTGCACATTGCAAGGGAAATTTCCCTTAGCTTAGTGAATGTGGGGAAATTTTACTTTGCAAAGAATACCCAATCATATGCAAGGGAAATTTAAAAAAAAAAACGTATATTTTTTCTTGCACGTGATTGGATGATGGAAGTCAGTAGAATGTCAACTTATTCACTAAACTAAGGGGAAACTTTCCCTACAAAGTGCAGATTCCCTTGCAACGTGAATAGCTGATTTGCCTTTGTCAAATAGGCTATCAACCCGTTCATTCATGAGTTCGTCATTTGAAAAGTAGATCTCCAAACGAAAAATAGTGGGTGCCCCTGATCTAGGACAACATAGCTGAACTGGAATGTGAGCTGATTTGGAGAATCTTTCCAAACTATTTTGGCCTAGATTGTTCACTTCTCTTGCCTTCTCCAAACTCTTCACCCTTTTGTGAATAGTCCTGTCAGTTGTCATTTGCCTTCACAAATCCTTAGAAAACTTGATAGTATTTTGAAATCATAACATTTGAGCTATGAGTACTTGTAGGCCCTAAAAATTATTTTTTGAACATAATATAACATTGTCCCTTTGTAATAGAATTTGCTTCAGCAAAGACTCACAAATATGTTCTAACTTTTAAGGGTTGTTTAACGACCATGATGTCTGATACAATGGCCCTTTATAAAGTATGTTATTCTATAGAGAGTGTTGTTAAGATCAGAAATCAGTGTTAACGGAGTACATCATTTCTAAGCTAACATTTAAGGTTAAATTCTATTAAAATGACTCACATGTATGCTGTAGGATTTGCCTCTTCTTTCATGTAATCTTCAAAGAACTGAAAATGCATTCATTTAAAATATGTGGATGTATCCTTTTCAAGGTTCCATTTGGTTTGTTTTATATTAAGCATAACAGTAACACTTTTCAGCAGATACTGTATCAAACATACCGAATGTCTGGAGAAGCTTCTAAGGCTTCTTATGATAAACAGAGATACAGAGTATGGCGAGAACCCCGCTGAAGCATATTGAATGACAGTTGTATTAGTTTAAGCCGAGAGCTCTAAAAAGAGACATGCTGTTGTTGAGTGATGGACCTCCAAACCAGTCAGTCCCATGTGAGCAAACATTTCATGTTTTACAAAGAAATTCAGGCAATATTCAAATACTCTGCATCTTCAAAAGACAAAAAGGCCTGCTTTACATTAACAAAGCGGCAAATATCAATAGATAACACTGACAAATACTGTATTAATTCCAGTATTCCAGCTGTCAGTCAAATAATAGCCAATGTGCTGTATATGCAAACTATCACTGTGCATGGAAATACAAAATCTACTGAATATAATTACAATTGACTGTAATAGAGAGCAAAGGACTAGGCACCAATATTACCTTTGGTCTCACTGTAGGTAATGTTTCCCTATTACCGTACCATGTTCTTGTGTCTCTGTGTGGAGGCAGCAATCTTGGTAGGGCTTTGCTTCCTTATGCCAAAGCTTTCAGTGAGGAGAACAGTGAGCAGCACAGTAGTGACATCATTAAATCTCACTCCAAATCCCCTTAGACTAGCAGTTAGAAACAGCAGCGCCTGAGATCTGAAATTCAGATATACAGCTATGAGGCTGTAGGTACAGGAGTGGCTAAGCACACTCCCATATCAGCAAGTGCACAGCTATTTTTCTCAAGGAATTAAAGACTAAAGATATATTTTTAGGGTACTGCTTAGGCACAATTATTATTTCTAAATGTTCCATATTACATAGAAAATCTTCACTTTTTGAGTTCAGGTCCACTTTAATCTCATGGTGTAATTGAAATGCATTTAGCAGTGGAAAAAACATTTTTGTGTAACTTGATTACATTTCTGCATATTGAACACTTCCCTGCGTTTGGATATTGCAGATAATTAGTCAAAATGGCAATACCAGGAGTGAGTTTGTTAAATTTGGATTAACCACCTCCTGTCCATTAGCCGTACCTAAACGGCCGGACGGAAGGCTTGTAGATGTGGGTGGGCATTTTAACCTCATGCCGTCCGCCCGTAGTAAAAAAACGGACGGACGGCACTGCAGCATCTGCGGGTTGCCGTCTCCAGACGGCAATTTTTTTCTGCTCGCGCGCGCCCCCAAGCGGGCACGCACGGGCAGAAAAGACCCGTCCAATGCGAACACCCGGTACCGGGTTTTTAATATAGGGGAAACTGTTTTTTTTTTTGAAATTTCGGTAATTTTTCCTTAATATAGTAAAAAAATAAAACCCCCAGTGGTGAATAAATACCACCAAAAGAAAGCTCTATCTGTCCCCAAAAAAGGGTATAAAATTCATTTCAGTACAGCGCTTCATGACGGAATAAATGTCAGTTAAAGTACCGCAGCGCTGAATACTGAAAAATGGCCTGGATGGGAAGGGGGTTTAACACAGCGGATGTCAACTGGTTAAGATGTCCCTTCCCGCCCCCAGTGGGGAAATTGTCAAAAATGTAAACAGCCATAGATGGCTGTTTACATACAAGCATTCTGGCATCTGTAGAGACGCCCGATCGCTTGTATTTTCTGCGGGTGTTTCTCAACCCCCCGCCACTAGTCCTGAGATCTGCTGTACCCAGTGCGGGGCGGGACCAGCAGGGTGGATCTGTCACCAGACATCAAAGGGAGCCAAGTAAACAATCTCCCTCTGACTCCGGTCCCCGAATGCAGGAAGTGATGTACATTACATCACTCCCGCATTCAGCTGTCCATACCAGCTACTGAAGCCGGGGAGAAGATGGTGAAGCAGATCTCTGCTTCATCAGCTTCTCTGTGGGTCCCTTGGTGATATTAGGGGTCTTGGACCCCTGATGTCTCCATAAAGAGGACCTGTCGTGTAAATTAAAAAAAAAAATTACACTTAACTTTACTGCTATCACACATGTGATAGCAGTAAAGTTAAGTGTATTTTTTTTTTAAATGAAAGAAACATAAAAAAAATCAAATCACATATAAAAAAAAAAAAACACAAATTTTGTTAAAAGTCTCCTGCTCCCACATACAAATGCAAACATGTGTCGGGTGTACCTACATGTGAAAACGACGATTGTGCCAAGCATGTTACATATCACGTGAACGTCGAAGTGAGAGCAATTACTGATAACACTAAACTGACCAGCGGTAAAAGCCAATTTTGGGTGTTGTAGACTTTTGAGATTTTTGCGGGTGCGCGCAATTTGAGAGCTTGACATGTTTGGTGTCTATTTACCCGACGTGACCCTGTCTTTTATATTTTACCAAAAAATTGGGGTGATAATAAATGTTTCATAACATTTCATAGGGAAACAAGTTTTTTTCTATTTTTGGTACTATTTGTTTTGTTATATAGTAAAAAATAAAACCCCCAGTGGTGATTAAATACCACCAAAAGAAAGCTCTATCTGTCCCCAAAAAATTGTATAAAATTCATTTCAGTACAGCGTTGCATGACGGAATAAATGTCAGTCAAAGTACCGCAGTACTGAATATTGAAAAACGTCCTGGACAGGAAGGGGGTTTTGGTACTTTTTAGGATTTGTGAAGTGCTCCCATGTCCAAGCGCTTTTTTTTTTCCTTGAGGCTTTCTTGTCTTTACTAACCAGAGTAATTTGGGTTTAGAACCTTTTTTTATACTGATGACGATGATCCTAACCATGGTAAAACATGCTAATGTATGCTGTTCTCTGCCTACTTACTGTTTTTTTTATGATTGTGTGGTATATTAGGTGGTCTAATGGTAAATTATCTTATAGTAAGGGTAAAGTAACCTCCAGACAATCTGACCAGTAAATGTATGACTCCCAGTTCTGAGAACAAACTGTATTGGTATGTGTTGGGGTTAATTTATACATTTTCAAGAATGAAAGTGATTGTGTTGCCAATAAAATACAGGCCAGGTCAGTGAATTAGAGTAAGCTGCCTATTATAATTTGCACTAGGTGTTTTGATGTTATGTTTGTGTTATGTCTAGGTCCATGGGCGATGTATCTGCAAGCATCACACAACAGGTCCTCACTGTGAGCTGTGTGGTCTCCTTTATAATGACCAGCCTTGGAAAGCAGCAAATGGAAAAACAGGGGAGCCTAACATGTGCAGAAGTAAGTGGAAGATGGGAATCCTGAGGTTAACTCAGGAGGCTTGTTGAGCCACTTTTGTGAATAAATTGCGAAACCCACACATAATGATCTGTATATTTCACATTATTTTCCGATGACTCTTAATGAAATTCCCCTAGTAAACCTCCCTTTTTTCCTGTTTTTGATCTCTCCTTTTCCTCCTGTAACCCCGTGCCCTCTTATGCAAGGACATATAAACATCTTTCTGTCTTTCCTGGGCTGACTAATTTTTTTTCCATTTTTTTTTAATTTTATATAAATGTGGAATAGTACCATGTGTTATCACTGAGGTGGATTACATAGGAGGATAAGTCAGTGGACAAAACACTCCCAGCTTAATTTTTTTAAATGTGATGCTCTACATTGAATCATTGATTGCACTTAAAGTCCTATTCCACCTTTTGTAAGTGATTTTCATTTATTGTGGTAATGAAGAGGTGCAGTGATGATGTATACATGTGCACATTTTTATGACTCACATTGCAGGCTTTCTTCATTTTATTAATGAAGGTTTTATTAGGCCTGAAGCCTAAAAATTCAAAGTTTTCTCCACAGGAAAATCAATCAGACACCAGGGTGTCAGACTGTAATCAGCTGCCACCCTCCCTGTCACCCATTGTAACATGATCAGTAAACACCAGCTCTGCCTTTACGCACAATACACTTTAAATTTAGTAGAAGGAATTAAATTTTTTGTTACCAAAACAGCAGCCATAAACAGATACCCATACACATTTAGACATACTGTTCTATGGCCACACACAATAAAGCTCTTTCCTTTGTGCCATGTGATTTTTAAACTCGTGCTAGGATGTTCTTTTGGAAGCAGAGTGCTGTCTGATTTTTGTGCATAATTACTTTGTAATTCTGCAGAGCAACATTCAAGAGAAAGTCGAGATGTTTTCATGTTTCCTGAATTCATAAAGCACATTTTGAAGCCTCTTACCAGCCACTGCAACCACCTTCTTCCTACAATTCTCTTTTTGAGTCCAGCACCAGGGACGCTTTCTTAGTGTATAAACATGAACACCTAACCAATGTCAGCCTGCGTGGCTGTGTACTTGCATTATAAAATAGATGGTTTAATGGTTATATCATGGCTATACATGCAATTTTGGTTCATCTCTAGAGCTAGGCACTGGCGGAACTACCAGGGTCGCAATTGCGACCGGGCCCTGGCATTCCGCCTGCTGGGGGGGGCCCAACGAGGAAGAAGAGGGCCCCCCCATGGATCGGCAAGGTGTCCGTACACTGACACCGGTGTCTGTGAATGGTGCTTGCAGGGTCCGCCATGGTCGTACATTACATGTGAAATTAGTTGGTACGGTCCCGGCCCTGACCCCCCTGTACAATTGTGGTATTTTGGTACCTTCCTGTTCACGTGCAGGAAGGTTTTTGGGGGGGGGGGCGGAGCTTTGTTTTTAGTGGGCGGAGGTGAAGAAGATCAAGGATAGTGGCGGAACTACCAGGGTCGCAGAGGTCGCGGCTGCGACCGGGCCCTGGAGTTACGCCATTTGGAGGGGGCCTACGACAGGATGAAGGGGCCCCTGGTAACCGCTGATTACCAGGATATTTATTATGTCAGTCCCGGGACCTCTTCCTCCTGTCCTGGGCCCTACATGCTTCACGCTGCTCCCCTCATCTTGTTCCGGGCGCAGCGTGAAGTATCCAGCCGGTGCAGCAGCCAATGAGTGGGAAGCGGTGTTATCCCCGCCCCCTCATCACACAGAACGCTGCCGAGCTGCTGCAGACACGAAGGAGGAGATGTAGGGAGCTGGGACTATGAAGGTGACATGGGGTCCGGCAGCGGAAAGCTGGGGACATGAAAGAGGAGAGTGTTTTGTTTTTTTTTCTAAAATTTGTTTGTTTAGAAAAAGTATCTATTTTTTTTTTCTTCTTCTACATTTTTTTAGATGGATAACTCTCCTTTGAGAGTGAGTGAAGACATTTAAGAAGGGTGCTCTTCACTGCAGAAAGGGAAAGCTTGCGTATTTCCTTTTGGACAGCAATATATATGTTGTTGTATTAATAATATTATTATTATTATTACCATTATTATTATTCAGAATTTATATTGCACCAACAGTTTTCCCAGTTCTTTACAAAGTGGAGGGAGATAGTACAGTTACAGTATCAATACATGAGGGTTAAAAGGGCCCTGCTTTGAGAGCTTAGGCTGGCCGTACTCTAATATTTTCTTTGTTCAATCCATGGGCTGAATGAAGAAAATATTACAGATTCCTCCATGAACGCTTACGAGATGGAGGAATCGCTCCCTGTTTTCATTGTATACTGACAGTGGCTGCCGACCGCTGTCAGAATGCCCAAACAGAGCCAGCAGCTAATTGGCTGATTCGAAGGTTTTGCGACAGTCTTCTTCCATCAGCTGATTGAGGGATGCCTGCCAAAAGGGTGCCAATAGCAGCACCTACTGTGTTCGTATAGTGTTTGGTCAGTTTTACAATCTAGTAGGAGGGGCAGGAGGCAAATACAAAAGGTAATTAAATATGTTAGGTAGATTTGGACGGAGCAAGGTGAAGGAAAAGAAAAGAGGTAGGATACAGGATAGAGAAATTATATATAAGAAAAGGAAGAAGGAAAACAGAGAGAAAAAAAAACAGAAGAGGGAAAAGTATGTCTGGGCAATTGGTGACAGCAATGAAGGAGCATCTATCTCCCACTGTAGGTACATAGCAAATCAGTACTAATAATTCAGCTGAATGAAGTTTTATATAGCCATGTGATAGCATAGAGCAAATCAGACTGTCTGTGCATCTCCTCAGAATCTGTGTGTCTAACAGCATAAAATAGAAAAAAACCTTAAAGGAAAACTATGGGGTTCTATCTTTTTTTTATGAATGCATTCCTTAGGCTAAATAAGTCTCTCTTCAGCATTTACTACAAATCGGAAAGTCCATATATGGTAAATGATGTCACTGGAGATCCCTGCTGATCGGATCCGATCAGCAGGGATCTCCAGTGACATCATTTACCATATATGGACTTTCCGATTTGTAGTAAATGCTGAAGAGAGCGAAAGAGCTCCTTCCCCTCTGTCATCAGCGATCAGCAGGGAGAGAAAGAGAGAGTAGGGAAGGAGCTGGCACACGGGGACGTGCAGGTAAGGAGAGAGCTGCTGCGCATGTCCATATATTCGTGCGAGCAGCTCTCAAGAACCACTGTCAATCATCAGTGGGGAGGATCCCGTCAGATACGTCGGGATGTCTTCTCATTGCGGCGCTTAGCCCCGCCCACCACCTAAAATAAGGTTTTACAGCCTTCCTGTGCGTTTTGGCTAATTACAGTAAATTACATTGTTTACTTATTTAGCCTAAGGAATGCATTCATAAAAAAAAAAAGATAGAACCCCATAGTTCTCCTTTAAGTGCACTTGCACATCTACACATACTGTATGTGTAGAAGTACATATTTACCAGTGGGTAGAGTAACATTGTTATATTTGATATTACTACTTCCACGTCACAAATGGAAAAACAAATCAGTGAAAACTGATAAGAATATGATTACTTTAGTGTGAAGCATATTGTTTGTCTGCCACCTCCTTAGACTAGAAAACTGGAAAACTACGTGGAATGGAAAACTGGGAAGACAGGTTGTTCAAAACCTTAAAATAACATTGCGCTTGCAGATAATTGTTCCATTTTTGTTGGTTATATTAAGCTTGGTTATATTAAAATAGGTTTATCAATGATATTTGGCAGTGTTGGTCTATACATTGTTACAGAGCAGAAAGTGAACTGGAAATAGTTTAGTACTCACAATAATCTCAAACTTTTTCTAAACATTTCAAATGAACA